GAGTTGGTTAGGTTCGGTCATATATCTACGTTAATTTTAGGTCCAATAAAAAAAATGACCTCATACATAATGAAATGGGTAGCTTTATCATTTCATAAGAAACAAATTAGAGAAAATATATTATTTCAGGAAAACTTTTAAAGAAGGAGTCTCCTTCTGAAGATATATTAATATACGAAAGTACTTAAGTAAATTCCTGTTTCATTTTTCCTCCGTGGTCTGACATTGTCACATTTTTAATCACGTGTTTATTTTCGTGACTCACACACACACACACACACACATATATATATATATATATATATATATATATATATATATATATATATATATATATATATATATATATATATATACATATATATATATATATATATATATATATATATATATATATATATATATTATATATATATATATATATATATATACATATATATATATATATATATATATATATATATATATATATATATATATATATATATATATATACATATATATATATATATATATATATATATATATGTCGTACCTAGTAGCCAGAACGCACTTCTCAGCCTACTATGCAAGGCCCGATTTGCCTAATAAGCCAAGTTTTCATGAATTAATTGTTTTTCGACTACCTAACCTACCTAACCTAACCTAACCTAACTTTTTCGGCTACCTAACCAAACCTAACCTATAAAGATAGGTTAGGTTAGGTTAGGTTGGGTTGGTTAGGTTCGGTCATATATCTACGTTAATTTTAACTCCAATAAAAAAATTGACCTCATACATAATGAAATGGGTAGCTTTATCATTTCATAAGAAAAAAATTAGAGAAAATATATTAATTCAGGAAAACTTGGCTTACTAGGCAAATTTGGCCTCGCATAGTAGGCTGAGAAGTGCGTTCTGGCTACTAGGTACGACATATATATATATATATATATATATATATATATATATATATATATATATATATATATATATATATATATATATATATATATATATGTCGTACCTAGTAGCCAGAACGCACTTCTCAGTCTACTATGAAAGGCCCGATTTGCCTAATAAGCCAAGTTTTCATGAAATAATTGTTTTTCGACTACCTAACCTAACCTAACTTTTTCTGCTACCTAACCTAACCTAACCTATAAAGATAGGTTAAGTTAGGTTAGGTAGGGTTGGTTAGGTTCGGTCATATATCAACGTTAATTTTAACTCCAATAAAAAAAATTGACCTCATACATAATGAAATGGGTAGCTTTATCATTTCATAAGAAAAAAATAAGACAAAATATATTAATTCAGGAAAACTTGGCCTATTAGGCAAATCGGGCCTTGCATAGTAGGCGGAGAAGTGCGTTCTGGGTACTAGGTACGACATATATATATATATATATATATATATATATATATATATATATATATATATATATATATATATATATATATACATATATATATATATATATATATATATATATATATATATATATATATATATATATATATATATAGATATATATATATATATATATATAAACGCCCCAACGGCACTAGGTGGTAAGCTTGGGCATAGTTATTTCATTGAATCACCTTACTCTGAGGGGCCACGTGAGCAACACAAAAGTGAACAAGCTTGAATGGTCCCCAAGCCAATATGCAACCGAAAAGTCCACACCCCAAAAGTGATTCGAACCCAGACAGCCAGGAGCACTATGCATCTGGCGTACAGTGTATCGTAACCACTTGTCCAATCTTAACCATACAACGAATTTTGTACAAATTTCAAGCATAGAAAGCATTTATAGCTAACACGAAGGATTCCTTCTTGATCAGACTGGGGCCAGCTAAATTTTTTGTTTATAATTAAATCAATTGTCTGTGTTGTGTCGTAAAGAAAAATTGAGTTATATACAGTCAATGTAAAGCTACGATTGGTCGAGAGCATCCTTAGCGCGACGAAGTTTACTTACGAAGATTTTCTTACTTAAATGCCTACCTGAATACTGACGTAGCCACTATGAAGATGCTAAAAAAGAACGTTTGTAAGTACGTACGTAACTGCTTCGTGAATCTGGCTCCCGGTTACGGAAGGGTTCGTAGCATGACATCAGGCATGTGGGGATAGTATTAACTCCCACCCGGATCATGGTGGGGTGCTCCTGACCCTAGAGTAGGGTAAGTCTTAACCTTTGCCGGAGCATAGTGTGGTGCTGTGGCCCAGGGCGAAGTAAGTCTTAACCACCTTCCAGAGAATGGTTTGGTGCCCCTGGCCCAAGAGCTTCGTAAGTATTAACACCCACCCTGAACATGGTGTAGTGCTACTGGCCCCCTATACGGGGGCCAGTAGCACTACACTGAGCACTACACAAGACTTAAGATAAGTCTTAACCCCCTGTTGGAAATCCTACACACATGTTAACATACTATAGTTAGCCATTTCCGAATATAAGGGAAATGGGAGATTCAGTGTCATCACAATAGACCCATATTCACAACACGTATATATTAAACTCCATTTATTCTTTTAAACTAAAGTCTAGTGTTTAAACCTAATAAAAAGTATTCGCTTGGACTGGATATATTATAATAAGCAATAAAAAATACACTACAGACTTCCTTGCTATTGTTACATAAACCTTGTCTTTAAGACAGAGTAGGAACCAACAGAGTATTGAAACGCAACCTCAGGGAAGGAGGCTGGCAGTCACGCTCTGGCTCAGACACAGAAACAAAACAAAGAGGGCTCCTCACGACAAGCACAACGTGTCAATGGATCCACAACGATCCGACCAACCCTCAATAACAAAGAGAAGAGCTTAGTTCCCGACTCCCATTACATCTTTTATTGGTAGTGATCACTATTAAATATAGGATGGTAGTTGGTTAAGCTGCAGACGAAGCCCCACAACAAAGTGAGTAGTGTTTTACTCAGCACTACACACACAAATAATTCATGTCAAACCTGTACTTTATATGTTATTGGAACCGTTATTAATCCCATTCTTTGGTAGGTAAGTTTGTGAGTTGAAGATAATGAGGTGAGCTGGCCAACATAACTTGTGATGTTCTTGCTTACCCTAGCTGTTCCACAGACGCCACCTGAGTGCCAGCCCCCATTTTACAACTGGACCACATGTAGCCACACTCTAACAGCTATCACACTGCCTAATCAGGCCATACCTACATCATGGCTAAGATCTCACATTTGTACTAACCCATGTTTACTATAAGATTGAGTAGTACTAACCATACTGTAGATTAATTACCACCATATGTGGTATAATTTATATTATAATAAGGTAAATGTTTATAGCTTATTATATGACCACCAATTTTGTATAAGGTGTAAACGTCCCTCCAACTATGTGCAGGTAAATTCTGGCAGGCTGAATCAAATATACAGTCCACTTAGAATCATAATCATCAATATTGAAGTGATAAAAAAATATAAAATAAATGTTCACAAAGAATAAAAATAATTGCTTGCTAGGATTATCCAACACCCCCACCCAGAGCACGGAGGGGTGCTCCTGGCCCAGGACGGGGTAACAACGACGACAACAACAAGCACTTCACTCTCGCATCACAACAACAACATCAACAACAACAACAAGGGTACATCAATAACAGCACTATAACAACACATCATCAACAACAAGGGAACATCATCAACAACAACAACATCAACAAGGAATCATCAACCACAACAACAACAACAACAACAACAAGTGCTAGCATGACAACATTTGAGGGGATTCCCATGAACAAAACAGGAAAATTTTTTCCGAGATATTATCTTACACGCCACACCAGGTGGTATTGTTGACCTTTGTGGACGCCTGCTGGTAGATACTGGGGAGGGTGGGGAGGGCCCGCGGAGGGGAGGGTCGGCGGTGGGGTGGGTCGGGGGTGGGGAGGGCCGGCGGTGGGGAGGGCCGGCGGTGGGGAGGGCCGGCCGGTGGGGAGGGTCGGCGGTGGGGAGGGTCGGCGGTGGGGAGGGCCGGCCGGTGGGGAGGGTCGGCGGTGGTGAGGGCCGGCCGGTGGGGAGGGCCGGCGGTGGGGAGGGTCGGCGGTGGGGAGGAGATAGGGAGGGAGGGATTAGACAGGGTGGGAGGAAACAGGGTGGGAGGAAACAGGGTGGGAGGAAACAGAGTGGGAGGAGACAGGGAGGGATGGAGGAGACAGGGTGGGAGGAGACAGGGTGGGAGGAGACGGGGTGGGGGGAGACAGGGTGGGAGGAGACAGTGAGGGAAGAGACAGGGTGGGAGGAGACAGTGAGGGAAGAGACAGGGTGGGAGGAGACAGGGAGGGAAGAGACAGGGTGGGAGGAGACAGGGAGGGAAGAGACAGGGTGGGAGGAGACAGGGAGGGAAGAGACAGGGTGGGAGGAGACAGGGAGGGAAGAGACAGGGTGGGAGGAGACAGGGGGAGACACGGTAGGAGGAGACAGGGTGGGAGGAGACAAGGTGGGAGGAGACAGGGTGGGATGAGACAGGGTGGGAGGAGACAGGGAGGGATGAGACAGGGTGGGAGGAGACAAGGTGGGAGGAGACAGGGTGGGAGGAGACAGGGTGGGATGAGACAGGGTGGGAGGAGACAGGGAGGGAGGAGACAGGGAGGGAGGAGACAGGGTGGGAGGAGACAGGGAGGGAGGAGACAGGGTGGGAGGAGACAGGGTGGGAGGAGACAGGGTGGGAGGAGACAGGGAGGGAGGAGACAGGGAGGGAGGAGACAGGGAGGGAGGAGACAGGGAGGGAGGAGACAGGGTGGGAGGAGACAGGGTGGGAGGAGACAGGGTGGGAGGAGACAGGGTGGGAGGAGACAGGGTGGGAGGAGTCCGGGTGTGAGATGTATATAAGAACTGCTGCCTAGTTTTTTCCCGACACTGTTGGCCACACGATCGTCAGCTGTTGTCTGCTGCTGTTGTCTGCTGCTGCTGTTGTCTGCTGCTGCTGCTGTTGTCTGCTGCTTCTGCTGTTGTCTGCTGCTGCTGTTGTCTGCTGCTGCTGTTGTCTGCTGCTTCTGCTGCTGTCTGCTGCTGCTGTTGTCTGCTGCTGCTGCTGCGGTCTGCTGCTGTTGCTGCTGTCGGTCTCTGCTGCTGCCGTTGTCTGCTTGTCTTGTTCTCTCGTCGCTACAGTTGTGAGGTAATTATACATGGCTTGTACGCGATCAGTGCCCAGAGTATTTGGCCATATTCTACCCCCCCCCCCGCCCCCACCATATTCCACCACCACCATTTTCTACCCCACCATATACTACCACCACCATATTCAACCACCCACCAAATTCAACCACCACTATTCTACCACCACCAAATTCTATCACCACCATATTCTACCACTACTATATTCTACCACCACCATATTCTACCACCACCATATTCTGCCACCACCATATTCTACCACCACCATATTCTACCACCACCATATTCTACCACCACCATATTCTGCCACCATCATATTCTACCACCACCATATTCTACCACCACCATATTCTACCACCACCATATTCTACCACCACCATATTCTGCCACCACCATATTCTGCCACCACCATATTCTACCACCACCATATTCTACCACCACCATATTCTACCACCACCATATTCTACCACCACCATATTCTACCACCACCATATTCTACCACCACCATATTCTACCACCACCATATTATTGGGAGCAGCGCCAAGTATTAAGTTGAACAGGAAATAGTGTTTAAAAATAATCAGCGCTGCAGGCTGGGGAGGCCAGGCTGTGGAGGCCAGGCTGTGGAGGCCAGGATGTGGAGGCCAGGCTGTGGAGGCCAGGATGTGGAGGCCAGGCTGTGGAGGCCAGGCTGGGGACGCCAGGCTGTGGAGGCCAGGCTGTGGAGGCCAGGCTGGGGACGCCAGGCTGTGGAGGCCAGGCTGTGGAGGCCAGGCTGGGGACGCCAGGCTGTGGAGGCCAGGCTGTGGAGGCCAGGCTGGGGACGCCAGGCTGGGGACGCCAGGCTGTGGAGGCCAGGCTGGGGACGCCAGGCTGTGGAGGCCAGGCTGTGGAGGCCAGGCTGTGGAGGCCAGGCTGGGGACGCCAGGCTGTGGAGGCCAGGCTGTGGAGGCCAGGCTGGTGACGCCAGGCTGTGGAGGCCAGGCTGTGGAGGCCAGGCTTGGGATGTCATGGTGGGGAGGCTAGGCTGGTGAGGACAGGCTGGGGAGGACAGACTAGGGAGGCTGTTACCTATCGTTCGTTACGGCTCGTGACCCTACAGCAGCCAAGCTTTAATTACGTCTAGGGATACGAGAAAACTGCTGTTCTCAAGAGCGGGTCACCAGTATAACCCCTTGATAAGTAATGAGCACATAAATAAAAATCTTCCTTTAGGACTGAAGAATAGATACAAAATATTATATAGATATATATTCAAGACAGTATAATATAAAAACACAGATGGTCAGTTAACTTATACAACAAACAAAAGGTATTGTCCTTCTAATATAGTATAATAAAATATGGCACAACAAGAAGTAACAGAATTATCTCCCACATGTTACTCTTCCTGGTCCCCCGAAGCTACTGAACTCTCGCTCTGTCGCAACCCAAATTCTCTCCCGTCTGCCTCATCCCAGGATGAGGGATGGAAACTAAGGACTTTTTAATATTTAAAACTAATTGAACAACCACTTGTTCTCAAAACACATAAGACTGCAAATTACAGATAATAGTTACTTACAAAATATATAAGTATAATGCCACCTGTTTAATTACAGAACATAAACAATTACCTAAACTAAATAAAAGTGACATCTGGAACTCCCAACTGAACAGGTCCAGCTTTCCCGAATCTAACAGGTACTAGACGTGTGCAAAGCAACCGCGCTCCTGTCTCCACTGACGCTGCCACACCACACGATAATTTACCAAAAACACAATGTGTGTACATATACAGGCAATGATATAATAGAATAAAACAAGTTATTTTAAATTTATATACGTATTCTGCTAGGAGTACGTAACAGAGGCCAGGCTGGGGAGGCCAGGCTTGGGATGTCATGGTGGGGAGGCTAGGCTGGGGAGAACTGGCTGGGGAGGACAGGCTTGGGAGGACAGACTTTGGAGGGCAGGCTTGGGATGTAAGGCTGGGGAGGCCAGGCTAGGGAGGTCAGGCTGGGGAGGCCAGGCTGGGGAGGCCAGGCTGAGCAGGCCTGGCTGGGGAGGACAGGCCGGGGAGGACAGACTGGGGAGGAATGTCTTGGGAGGCCAGGCTTGGGAGTCCAGGCTGGTGAGGCCAGGTTGGGGAGGACAGACTGAGGAGGCGAGGCTGGGGAGGCCAAGCTTGGGAGGACAGGCTGGGGAGGACAGGCTGGGGAGACCAAGCTTGGGAGGCGAGGCTGGGGAGGCCAGGCTGGGGAGGCCAAGCTTGGGAGGACAGGCTGGGGAGGCCAAGCTTGGGGGGACAGGCTGGGGAGGCCAAGCTTGGGAGGACAGGCTGGGAGGCCAAGCTTGGGAGGACAGGCTGGGGAGGCCAGGCTTGGGAGGACAGGCTGGGGAGGCCAGGCTTGGGAGGACAGGCTGGGGAGGCCATGCTGGGGAGGACAGGCTGGGGAGGCCAAGCTTGGGAGGACAGGCTGGGGAGGCCAAGCTTGGTAGGACAGGCTGGGGAGGCCAAGCTTGGGAGGACAGTCTGGGGAGGCCAAGCTTGGGAGGACAGGCTGGGGAGGCCAAGCTGGGGAGGCGAGGCTGGGGAGGCCAGGCTGGGGAAGCCAAGCTTGGGAGGACAGTTTGGGGAGGCGAGGCTGGGGAGGCGAGGCTGGGAGTAGGGGAAACCGGGCCATAGACCGGCTATTTTGCTTTTTTCCCAAGCCGGTCTATGGCCCGTGTTTTTTTTCGATGCCTCAGTGGTCCATTCACAGGTACGTTCAAGGGGATTAAATAGCCGGTCTATGGCCCCTGGGTTTTACGAACTTTTTTTTCCCAAGCCGGTCTATGGCCCCTGGGTTTTACGAACTTTTTTTCCCCAAGCCGGTCTATGGCCCGTGTTTTTTTTTCGATGCCTCAGTGGTCCATGCACAGGTACGTTCATGGGGATTAAATAGCCGGTCTATGGCCCCAGGGTTTTCTCAAATTTTCTTTCATAGCCGGTCTATGGCCCCATGTTTTTTCGTTACCACAGTGAGCCATGCACGGGCATTGCTAATGGTCAATGACGTCATCAACTTACCTAGGGATTAAAAGGCCGGCTCCTGGCCCCATCATATTTCGTTACCTGAGCAACCCTGCACAGGCATCGCCAATGGATAATGACGTCACCCCCGTCTTCATTTTCCCTGTATAAGTCCGTTTTCTGTTACAGTGTAAATTATTCCCATTTTCAATATTTATAGCAAAGGGGGATTCAAATGCTTCCTTCTGTCAAGCCTAATGTGCAATGGCATTAATCATTATAAGCTCGTTTTTCTCAATAAGGTATTGCCGTACTGTTTCCCATTGTCTAAGATCATTTTATAGCTAAGATTACATAATAATAACATAAGAAATGACTTCAAACCCTGTTTACAGAACCAGTATTTACCCAGGTCTTTTTCCTAATTCTAAAACTTATTCCAATTTATGTCCATTGTTTCATGTTCTGTCTAGTGTTGATAATTTTAATAGTCTATTAATATTCCCCCTTTATCATGTCCATTCATTCACAGCTCTATCATGTCACCTCTATTTCTTTGCCTTTCTAGAGAATATAATTTAAGCTTTGTCAATCTTTCTTCAGAAATTGCTTATTGAGCATAGGGCAAAATAAAAATGAAAACTTACTATCTTTCATTTGTATGAAAACAGTCCCCTGCCAGGCGTAGTGACTTCAATGCGATTTCAGTACTAATCCAATATTACTGTATAAACTAACAGTACCCTGCCAGGCATGGTGACTTCAATGCGATTTCAGTACTAATCCAACATTACTGTATAAACTAACAGTCCCCTGCCAGGCATGGTAACTTCAATGAAAAGCAAGCCTCTCATGTTTTGAAATAAGGCCTTCGTTTCTGACGTCATCATCCCTAATGTGGCGCGAGGCGCGCTAAATGCGGATCCCAGGAGGTTCACACATAAGTGTGAACTCTTAATCTAGCTTAATACCTCACCTATACTCTGTGCTTCATCAGAGTTGATATTCAGCTACAATAGCTCGTATTTTCGCTCATTGCTTATATTTTCTGTTATTCATAAACCCGATCAAACCTTCCTAACCTAACCTAACCTAACATATTATTTATAACAAACAAATACATTCTACAGAACAGTTTTTGTTGTTGTTTAGTGACATCGTGAAAAGCGAGCTCAGGTATAGGGATAAGGTATTGATGGTCATTAGCATATAGGTGTGAAGGTATTACAGTACCTTACTGGTCAACTATGTATGACGTCACCAGACAACCAATGCGACCTTTGGCGTCCTACTGGCATGTGTATTTGATGTTATTAATCAAAAATGACTAGACTATCCATCCCCACCTAACCTAATCAGAGGTATAAGAATATACATTTTAGTCATCCACAACTGTAATCATTATTCAGTGATAAGTTCAAAAGTATAACAGAAGCCCAAATGTCATACTGCAATTTAAGCAGAATCGTACATCTGGCAGCATAGCAGGTGAGCTGAACATAAGAATAAAGGTAACTGCAGAGGTCCTATTGGCCCATACGAGGCAGCTCCTATATATTTCCACCCAATCTCATTCATGTCCACCCTATGCTTAAAACAACCAAGGGATCCCACTTAAAGTTTTAGTTTACAATAATAGTTTTAATAAATAGCTCTTATTCTAGTTTTATACACAACAGCAATTATGAAAACCCTATATCTAGATATTCTACTATAATCCACAAGTAGTTACCACACATCTGGCAGTACAGCGGATTAGTGGCTGTGTTCATAGGCTAGTCAACTGTCCTCACATCCATTAAATGGATATCCAAATGTCGCACCTCAATTCATCCATCTAGCAACTCAGCTGGATGGTAGCCACTATATTCATAGGCTAATCATTTCTACACCTCAAAAAAGCCTAGTCTTGCTACGCAAATCAGCTAACTTGTTTCTAAACCAACACTCGCAAATACAATCATGCATACCTACACATACTTCAAAACCTATGCATTCATAGAGAA